TGGCAATTTGGGAGAACTTTATCCTCATGGGATCCCCCCCCCCCCCGCACAAGACTGTTAAGTCCCTGAAAAGTTGCCTTTTAGATTAATCTAGGTCAATAAAGTTTGTTTCAACACTGTTCTAAATAACTAGAGTCATTGCAATGTACATACATGGCTGTTCAAGAGTGAATGCCTGACACTGAAGCATGTCACGATTTACCGCTGCACTGATTTTTAGAACATTTTTTTAAAATAAAAATTTACAATTTATGTTTTGGAAGGAATATCTCAGGCAAACCCTCCAAACATTACCCATTATGGTTAAGATTTGAACTTATGTGGTGGAGGCTGCTCTGAGTACCAATAATGTTGCCAGGTTTTCAAAACAGCAATAAGGAACACTAGAAATTAATGCCATGAAAGTTGACAATCAATATTGCATTAAATAGTATTGTATTAAATAGTACAATAGTATTGTATTAAAGTAGCTATTAACAGGTTTGTGATCTACCTATACAGCAAGTTCAGCTGTAGATTTTAGTTAATGTATTTCTTTTTAAACTTAATATATTGTCCACATGTGAAGATTACATGATGCATGTGATTCTGCATTTTTGAAAGGTCTTGCACCCCAAAAGAGAGCCAGTGTGATATGTTTTTGTTGTTGTTGTTGTTGTTGTTGTTGTTGTTGTTGTTGTTGTGTGCCTTCAAGTAATTTCAGAGGGGGTCTGCCATTGTCAGTGCCATCCTCTGAGACTGAGTGTGACTTGCCCAAGGTCACCTAGTGAAATTTCAGGGCCAAGGTGATGTTTCTATACTGTAGTATAGATTGAGTGTTGGACTAGGATTGCAGGAGACCATGGTTTGAATCTTTGCTCAGCCATGGAAACCCAATGGATGACCTTGGGCATGTCACACTGTCTCAGTCTCAAAAAAAGGCAACGGCAAATCCCCAAACAAATGTTGCCAAGAAAATCCTATGATAGGATTTTCCTTAGGGTCATCATAAGTCAGAAACTACTTGAATTTACACAACAACAATAACAATGCCCAATACAAGATTTATTTTTGGAATCTTGTTCAGGCTATATAAAAGGGAAAGCATTCCAGCTCTCAAATAGGGAATGCCACTTATAATAAGGGACAGCTATAATAATAATAATAATAATAATAATAATAATAATAATAATAATAATTTTATTTATATCCCGCCTTTAGCCAAGGCTATCAAGGAAGCTTACAATCTAAAAGCACAATCCCATACAATACAAAAAAAATTCACCTTCCCCCTAAAAATATATTAAATTCATAACAACATTAAAATTTAACTTAAAACAAAATTACAAATGCAATACGAATTAAACAGGGCACTCTGATTATAAAGGAGTGATCTAATGGTGCAGGGAAAGATTATGGGAAATATCATTCCGGGAACACCTGCCGGAAGAGATCTGTCTTGATGGCTTTTTTAAGCCATCTAAGGGCCTAAGCAGATGGCTTAATAGGCCGTCCTTGGCACAGGGAAGGGGAGGGGCAGCTGCACACTCGGTGCCCCCTCCCCCTCCTGAGGTCGTCCTCGGAGCAGCCGGCCCTCCGCACGGCTGGTGCTCCGAGGAGGACCTTCCGCCGCAGCGTTCAGACACGCTGCGGCGGAAAAGTTTCCAAAAGTGTGCTGCAACCTTTTGCAGTGCACTTTCAGCGACATATGAAAGGAGTGCTATTTTAGCGCTCCTTTCAAGGGGTGGCAACAGTGTGCCGCTGGATCGAGGCATGGGGATGCCTTGGTCCTGCGGTGCACCTTCCCAGGGTGGCGCACGACCGCCCATCTGCTTAGGCCCCAAGTTAGTTTTCTGAAGGAAGGGCATTCTACAGTGTAGGAGCTGTGGCAGAAAAAGTCCTCTGGGAGGTTGCTGCCAACCTAGTTCTTATTGGTTGAAGCAACTTCCTCCCAGAGGACCTGAGGGCACAGGGCGGATTATATGGAGCAGCTACTTTAGTACAATACTATTGTACTATTTAATACAATACTATAATAAGGGACACTTACCAGTTCTATAAAAGACAAGCTTTTAACCTTCAAATAAGGGACATCCCTTATAAAAGGTGTGGGTAACTGTGAAAGACTCGGGTGCTGCATTAGCCCTCCAGGAGATTGTGGAAGGCTGCACCCTCCCACAACTGGTCCTGTAAAAATATGTCAAATTTTTTTGCACCCCAGAACTCCCAAACACTCTCTAAGGCAGCCAGAGCATTTTTTAGGCCTCCTAAAGGGCGTTTTTGAGCAAAATGTTTTTTGAAAACAAATGCAAAATTTTCTTTTGACCATAGGTGCTCCAAGGCGACTGCAAATGTAGTGGAAATGCCCTTCATGGCCCCATTGATTACTTTTGGGCATTTTAGGGAAAATGCATTTTTAATACCTGGAAAGCATTGAAATCCACCAAAAATGGTCCTGGAGATATGCATGTGGTGCACACATTGCTCTTTGCCCACTTCTTCCTTATAATAAGAGCCACCTGACAAACCTACAAGTCATTTACTGTTTTTCTTTAGTTTTATCTAAGAATAAACTTCTTGAGTGTTCCCAGTTCTCTCTTATTGTTTATTTGGAAACAAATGCTGCAGGGTTAATTAGTCAGATAACATCCAGGACAGTAATGAATGTTGTAGAAGCTGGCTTCCTTATGAAGCTTATCCGTTGAAGCAGTTCATTTACTGAAATGTTTTAAGCTACATGTTCTGAAGTTTGAAACAGCATGAAACACCAAGTGTGACAGAGAAATGGTGGGGGAAAGCAATTATGGAAATCCTAATTTTTGTGTCCCACCATTGGTTTATCAATTGCAAACATATTGGTACTAATCAGCCATGAAGAGCTGGCTGTGCTTTTCAAAAGAAATATTTTTTTTTCCTGCAGAAGTTCCAAATGCTGCTGTTTATATGGATTAATGAATGCATTCTGTTTCCTGTTTTCTGTAGCATTTGTTATACTTTTGTCAAGAAATCCCTTTAGGTTGGTCTAAGGCTGCATATGCACTCCATAAATAATGCAGCCTGACACCGCCTTAACGGCCATGGCTTTATGCTATAGAATTCTGGGATTTATAGTTGTTTGAGATATTTAGCCTTTCCTAAGAGCCACAACAAACTACACATCGCAGGATTCCTAGGATGGAGCCAAGACAGTTAAAGTAGTGTCAAACCACATTATTTCTACAGGGCAGATGCAGCCTAACCCTGTCAGGGTTTCCCTAGTAGGATTACCTGGAACCCTCAGGTTCTGCAAAAGGTCATGATTGTGTGTGGGGTGGTGGTGGTGGATGGACCTAAAAACATTTTGGGAGCAGTCAATATAATAATTTTATGTATGGGTTACCTGAGACCCTGAAAATTATTTCAAGGATTCTTCTAGGATAAAAGTTTGAGAGAAGCTAGTTATATTTTGAACTTTTAAATATTTTTTATAACATTTGGTAATTTTGGAAACCAAACAAAAACATTTGGGGGGCTAAAATCCAGGAAGAGTCTTAGTACATTGCAAGTGAGTTGGCAGGAGTCACCCTGGTGCATTATATTTGTGTTTTAAAAGGCTGTGAAGCAGTGACAAAGGAAGGCAGTCTGCCAGTTTCAAGCAGCCTTCTTGTCCAGCCTATTTATTTCATACCTATTGAAGTACAGTACAGTTTATTCATGACAATCATATACAAGTTGTACCCATCAAATTACAATCATACAAAAATTATTAAAACCTTTAAAACCTTTTCTAATCACAGTTGGCTCTTTAATATATAAAACAATAAAGGTTTAAATAATAATTACAAAAATATTTACTATTAAGCTCATCACAATGTTACGTAATCCATTCAGATTAGTATATTTATCACACACTGGCCATTTTCCTTAAAATCCAACCTTGGCTTCCTTCCTTCATCTTGAATGTGGCAGATTTAGTTGTATTAGGTAGCCAAAACAAACAAACAAACAAAAAAAACAAGTGGGTTCTTGAATAATTGAACCCTGAAATACCCCCTAGAAGTCAATTAAATTGAGACTGGTTAAATTGAGATTGATAGTTCGACCACATCATGGGAAGGGGTGACTCATTAGAAAAGACAATAATGCTGGGAAAAGTTGAGAGTAGAGGAAAGAGAGAAAGACCACACGCTAGATGGCTAGACTCAGTTAGGGAGACCACAAGCATGAGTCTGCAAAACTTAAGCAGAGCAGTAGAAGACAGGGAGTCTTTGAGATGTCTCATCCACAGGGTTGCCATGAGTCGCGGTCTACTAAAGACAGTTAACAACAACCAAAAATGGCGGATAATATTCAACATAGTCCTGAGACTGCTGTGAGAGCCAGCATTCTCTAGGATTCTGGGAAATGGGGGTTCAAATACGCTAGGTGATCTTGGGTAGGTTATACTCCCTCAACCTCACAAGAAAGCTGACCAAATATTACTGAGCCAAATAATACTGAGAAAACTATGTGACAGGTTCAACCCAGGGTTGTTATAAGTCACAAATGACTTCTGGCAGGCCTTTCCTGAATAGATATCCTGGCCATCAAGAGACAGCCCAACCTGCTCCCCTGATTCTGCTGCAGTTTTTGTTTATTTGTGTATTTGTATTATTATTTTAAGTGGGTTTTTTAAAATTGTCATTGTTTAATAGTATTTTAAGGTGTGGGTGGGATTGTGGGATATGTAATGTAGATTTTAATGTTGTAAGCAGCTCCAGTTGCATTACACAGACGGGCAGGATAAAAATAAGTCTGCTGTATTGTGTTTGGTTGTCTGCCCACCCTCCTAGTTCCTCGTTCAAATAAGGTTGTGTGGGAGTTCATGTTGACCCCAATATTATCTGTAAGTTGCTGTCAGTTGCTTCTGACACATGTTTTTTGCAACTAAGGTGAACCTATCACTGGATTTTCTTGGTGAGATTTGTTCAGAGAAGGTTACCCTTTGCCTTCTTCTGAATCTGAGAGAGTGTGACTTGCTTAAGGTCACCCAGTGGATTTCATGGCTGAGCAGGAAATCAAACCCAGGTATCTGGAGTCATAGTCCAACATTCAAACCACTAGACCACACTGACTTTCAAATAATAGGCTCTAATATTTTCTCCTGTTATGTGTAGACTTCTAAATGTCATGGAGTGGGGTGATGAGGAACAAATCAAATGCACAGGTAGAGAAAGGAAATGCACAGGCGGCTTGTAAGGATGTGTACTGTAAATTATACTGATCAGAGAGAAATGGAAGTCCTTACTTGTTCTGTTCTCACATGCAGTAATGAAAATTTTCACAATTTTTCTCTTCACCGATGAGATTTTTCTGATGAGGATTTTCACATCTTCTAGAATTATTTTAATTGTGCATGTAAACAAAGACAGTCACTTCTTGCATGGCTTTAAAAAAACAGAAGTGTTGGACAAGTTGTTTGCGTCTTTTTCAACAATTAGCCAATGTGCTGTATGTGTCTCTCTGTGTGTGTGTCTGTGTGTGTGTGTATCTGCATGTGCTTTAAATCACTAGGGGTGGGGAGTTCATGCAGAGGCATTATGTGCATAATGTAGAAAGTGTGAAATACCCTGTCTCATGAAGAACAAGTAAGTTAGAAATTATTTGTTTTATTTGTTTAATTAATTTAGGAGTTTATCACATTTCTTTTTTTTGCCTGATCTGGGCACGGGCTGGGGATGCCTGTGAACAAGGAGAAATGGATTTTATCACATTTGAAATGATCAGCAAGCCATTGCTATGCCATTGCCCGACCACCACCCACCCTCAAGCTGTGCTGACCTGGCCCATTTTTCAAGGATGGAAGTTTTCCAGCTGAGCAAAATCGGCTGGCTTGGCACGGCTTGGGGATGGGTGGTGGTCAGGTGACAGCATGACGATGGCTTGCCGACCATTTTGTGTGATAAAATCTGTTTCCCCTCATTTGCATGCATCCCCAGCCCATGCCCAGATCAAGTGATAAAGGGAATGCAATAAACTCCTTAGTCCTGTCACATCCCCAAACCTTGCCTTCTCCTCCCTCCTGGAAAATGTCCTTCGGAGGCTTGCCCAGGTGTGCCTTGCAGCCAATTTGCCAATCGTTCCTTCATCCTCCATTATTCTAGATCAAAAGGAGATTTTTCAATAAGGAGAGGAAAAGTCCAGTCTGTTAGTTTAGGGACTTTGCCTCATGGAAGAGAGCAAGCAGGGCCTGATTACTCATTTTTGAAATGGTTCACTTGATCTAGGTCTTAGTGTGTTGGAAGGTCTATTGAAGGGATGTTGCAGGGAATGACTGTAGAGCTGAGTTGCTCCCCTGGCTACCACCAAGGACAGTGCTAGAAATCATGTGAGTCCCCAGTCCCATTTTGTCACACACCTTCAATATGTCACCAAAAAAAAAAAAATCCATGTCAAAATTTTATGTCATTTTTCTCACTTGCTGTTGTTTGAGGGCAAGCCACAGCATCACCAACAATTAGGAATTAGGAAGTTTTAAAGGAAAGTAACTTCTTTGTTGTTAGCTGCCCTTGAGTCAGTTCCAACTCATGGCAACCCTGTGGATGAGACATCTCCAAGAATCCCTGTCTTCTACTGCTCTGCTCCTACAAATCCATGCCCATAACCCCCTGATTCAGTCTATCCATATGGTGTGTGGTCTTCCCCTCCTTCTTCTACCTTCTACTTTTCCTAGCATTATTGTTTTTTCTAGTGATCCATGCCTTCTCATTATGTAGCCAAAGTATGATAGCTTCATTTTGATAAGCTTGACTTCCAACAGTAAGCTTTCCCAAATAAGGGGGGGGGGGAATATATCATGTTGAATAAATGACAATGTGTCCACTCCCCAAAATTATTGTTTCCATTTGCAAGTCTCCATATCTCTACACTCTTCCATCATTGAACCTCTTCCTTGCTCACCTTTCTGTTTCCTGTGCACTGGAGTGTATTTGTTCCAAAGTTTCCATTCTGTGATTTTCTCTGCCAAGTTTGTTCTTGGTTTGTTTCTGAGCTCCTCCAGGGTGTGAGGTGGCCAAGTTACTGCCCAGCTATCCATAATCCATCTCATAGTGGTACGTGAGTGAATTCATTTTATGAAAAAGTACTTAAGGGAGGATCTTAAAATTGATTATGGGAGTTTCCTGCCTGATCTGTAATCAAGGATTGATTTAGTCTTGAGCAGGCTATCATGAATGGAGGGGGAGATCTTGGTATGAATAATAGGCAGGATGTTTTCTGTGGTTAATTAACTATAATAATGAATAATTTATGATAAAAATATAAATTTTGATGGGAGGAATTATACAGTCATAGACATTAATTGGATTGCTAAACCCTGCCGATTTATTACACAAACAGTTCTTTCATACTACACAATTATAGCACTATGATTTCATTTTAACTGCCATAGCAGCATTCTATAGAATTCTGGAGTCTGTAGTTTGATCAGAGGCACTATAACTCTCTAGCTGGAAATTCTAAATACCCCCCTATCTGCAAATCCCAGGATTCTATAAAATTAATCTATGGAGATTATCGCAGTGCTAATTAAAGCAGTTCAGCTGGCTTAAAATTTAAAATGGGTGGCATCCTGATCTTATCACAAGGATTTTGCCACCGAAATCACTGCCTGGGTTCATCCCAAGTCCATCCCCACTTCCAGGACCACTCATCCCATGACTTCCTTGAACACCAAATCTTTGCAACTGGTACAATCAAAGCATGGCTTTTTTTCAAAGCGGGAGTTTTCTGGTTTAAGGAAATGGCCACCGGAGCAGCTCTGGGAGTGGGGCTGGACCTGGGCTGGACCCAAGCAGCGATTTCAGTGGCTGAATCTCTGTGATAACATCAGGATGTTGCCTGTTTTAAATTTTAAGTAGGCTCAGTTAAAGCTTTAATTAGCAGTGTAATAATCTTCTATGACAATTCAAGGGGTATCAAAGTAATTGTGCTATGTGAAGGAGACCTTGTATGAGTGTTGTAATTTATGCCACATCTGCACTGCAGAAATAATCCAATTTGACATTGCTTTAAGTTCCATGGTTCAATGCTATGGGATTCTGGGAAATGTAGTTTTGTGGGATATTTATTTTTCTCTGTCAGAGAGCTCTGGTGCCACAACAAACTACAAATCCCAGGATTCCATCACATTGAGCCATGGCAGTTCAAGTGGTTTCAGACTGGATTATTTATTCAGTGCAGGTACAGCCATAGTCTGTTTTTTCACATGCAGGCACAGAGAATACGGGGAGAGGGAGCAAAAAAGATATTCTTGTAGTTATCCATTGTACTCCTATGCTGCATAGGAGCTTGTTTAACTTGTATGCTGAAAACATCATAAGAAAAGCAGAATTAACATCAGAAAAAGGAGGAGATAAGATAGGAGGAAGCAATATTAATAACCTAAGATATGTAGATGACATCATAATATTAGCAGAAGACGTTCAGGAATTGGAACAGTTAATAAGGAAAGTCAAAGATGAAAGTGAAAAGGCAGGTCTGATGCTGAACATAAAGAAAAGAAAAACAATGACCACAGAAGAAATACACAAATTCAGTCTAATTCTAGACAATGAGGAAATTGAAATAGTTAAAGAATTTCCATATCTAGGATCAGCCATTGACCAGAATGGAGACTGCAGTCAAGAAATAAGGAGACTAGGAATGGGAAGGGCAACTATGAAAGAACTGGAAAAGATATTGAAGAGCAAAGACATACAAATGAGCACTAAAGTCAGAATCGTTCAGGTCATTGTATTCCCGATTACCATGTACGGAAGCGAGAGCTGGACAGTGAAGGAAGCAAACAGAAAAAAAATCAACTAATTTGAAATGTGGGACTGGAGAAGAGTACTTAGGATACTATGGACAGCCAAGAAGACAAACAAATAGGTTCTTGAACAGGGCTTTCCTTGGAAGTAAAGATGATCAAGTTGAGACTATCGTACTTTGGCCACATAATGAGAAGGCACGGATCACTAGAAAAAACAATAATGCTAGGAAAGGTAGAAGAAAGAGAGCAAGACCACAAACCAGATAGATAGACTCAGGGGGGATGCAGACGGCGAAAAACACCATCTTCAATCCCAGGAAGGGGACGGGCAGCTGGATGCTGCACATCCTATCCCCTTCCTGAGGACGTCATCAGAGCGACAGCCCATCCACATGACAGGTGCTCTAATGACGTCCTTCCAGCTCAGTGTCCACACATGCTGAGCCGGAAGAGATACCAAAGAGGCGCGCCATGCCTCTTGCAGAGCCCCTTTTGCAGGCAGCGAAAGGGAGGATTGGGGCCAATGTGTCAATCAGCCTCAGCCTTGATCCTCCACTTTCGGGGGCAGCCCAGGGCCGCCCGTCTGCATCCCCCCTCAATCAGAGGCATTATGGGGAAGGGCTTGCAGGATCTGGTCAAGGCTGTGGATGATAGAGATTCTTGGAGATGTTTCATCCACAGGGTCACCATGAGTCAGAACCGACTCAAGGGCAGCTAACAACAAAAAAATCCATTATACTCTGTAATTTTATTTTATTCATAATGTAATCATTTATTTAATTTCTCAGCCACTACTCCTACCATAGATCATACATATGCAGAAAAGGGACCCAACTTTTGAAGTGGCCCCAGGGCCCCAAATGCTTTAACCTGGAGATGGGATATAGATAGAATAAAAAGAAGCAAGTAAATAGTAATAAGTGGTTTATTGGGGTGGGTGGGTAAGGAAATCATGCCTGTAGCATTGAGCTCCTTGGAGGAAATATGATTAAATGTAAATAGTATTTTTTTTAACATCACACAAAAAGGTGTGGAAGAAAGAAAACCAACAGTTCTAAAAACTAGGATTCCAAGCGAAATACAGTTTAAGTTCAAACTTTTTACTCCACTCCCTATTGATTTTTTTCATTGCAGGTGAGGGTTTTTTGTAGTAAGGGAGATGAAACCTTTCAAACTCTGTTTCTTGTAATGTCAGTGCTTTTCCCTTGTGAACAACTGCTGAGAAGTTCTAACAGACAGATTTAAATAGCCATGTATCTCTGAACTAGCACATAATGTTAGAAGATACCAATAAGGATGTTACATGATGTTGGAATGGAGAGC